AATTAATGATCTAATGCTACTGGTTGTCGCAATCCGGTGACTTAAATAACCAACTAGTATAGATATATCTACCATTATCTCATCTCAGATAATCTCTTTTTCGCAAGATGAGCCCTGGGGGAGGATTCAGAATCCCATAGATAATGATACCCTCTGGTAATTTGTTACATAGCTATGGAAGCCATGACCCATAGAAATAGATGATGTACCTATTAAAAGTGATGATTTTCCATGGCCATGTTAAATAACCAAACGGTAATAATAATAACAATAATCACAATAACAATATTAATAACCATAACAATAACAATAATACTAATAATAGTAATAGTAATAGTAATATTAATAATGAGAATAATAATATTAATTAATAATAAATATATATATATATATATACATACCCATGATATCACTAAGAAAGATGCAAGATGATAAACACTTACGGATCACCAGTCATCAAAGAATTCATACATCCATCAAGTTTTCCAAATGGCCTTAGCCGAGGCCTTTGCAGTATGGAGTGGGACAACTCAACACCTTGTCCATCTTCTTCCTCACGGAGCAAGAGGCACCGCCAACTGAAGACGACGGGGGAAGTGGAGTTTTCTGTCGTGGGTGCGGGAAAAGAACATGGGAAGTGGAAAGAAAGCCTGAAGAGGCGAACTTTAGGGATTAATCTCAACCATAAATATTCATGTTGGGCAGAATGTGAGTCATACCACAGTTCGTCCGGAGCGGTGGAATGAATCATAGTAAGCGACATAAATTAGTACAAACCACTAGATATACATAGATATACGGTGGTTGCGTGCATGATAAGTTATGTGACAGGGGTTCACTTCCAAGGGACCGGGATATTTGGATTGGCTATGGAGCTTCTTGCAGGATCCTCCCTGCAGGAAGTCGAGAAGCAAATCCTCCAATGCTTCATGTTCCAAATATTCCGGTATTTCAGGTACAGGATGGGGCCCCCAAGATGGCAAAGTTGAGATATAAGTGGCTTCACTATGTTATGGTTTATGGTAGATATAACTACAGTATTCATGGGGTTTATAAACTAACAAAAATAAATCTTAGGGGGGGCCATCCTGTACCTTTGCCAGCATGAACTTTGCAAGCAAAAAAAGGTGTCTTCGGGCAGTGTTCAAAACGCCTGTTGATTGATGATACCATTTGGTAAACTAACATAGCGAACTGGAAAATCACCATGTTCAGTAAGTAAATCAACTATTTCTATGGGCCATCTTCAATGCTATTTTAAATTACCAGAGGGCCAGAGGGTATGAGGTTCTACTACCCAACATATTGCGAAATGTGGGAATTCACCATGGGATGACAGATGGTTTTGAATACTGCTCAACTCTTATAGGTCTGTATCACCGGGGTTACCAGGGATTAGTACAACATAGTACAACCCAGTTTTCCACCGCTTTGTTGTCTGAAGCAATTGACCAACTATAACCACCTACTGGGATGTACCCTCTGCTAATTTGTTACATAGCTATTGAAAATGGTCATTCCCAGTAAAAATTGTGATGTTCCATAGTTTTCTGTATGATTACCAGAGGGTAATAGGAGGCTTCTTCATTGCTCACAGCAGTTTGGTTGCTCCCTCCGCACTGAATCAAAGACAGCCATGTTTTTTCGACTCTGGGTCTGAGACTATCCCTGTTCACACCAAAAAGGTGGATCTATGTGTATATATATATATTATATATAAATGTATCTATAATTATGTGTATATATATATATATGTAATATACATAGTATACATGTGTACCTAGAGGTTGGAACCATCGAAATTTAAAAGCCAATCAAAAACCATATAAATGACTGGTAGTTGGAACTATATCCCATATGCTCCATGGTGCCGGAATATTTACCAACATTTGCCCGAACAAAATCACCCAGTTTACAGTTTTGTAGGTAAATATGCCAGCACCATGGAGCATATGGGTATATATACATCATTATACGTATATTCCAGCAGTTAGATTGGAAGATGTTCATTGGATTATATGCGATGAATTATTTTAAAATATGGGTTTTATTTATGCATGCATGCATTGCATTCCATTCCATTCCATTCCATTCCATTCCACTACATTACATTACATTACATTACATTACATTACATTACATTACATTACATTACATTACATTACATACACACAGAGAGTTCCTTAAAATTCCTTTAAAATCCTTAAAAATCATATATATATATATATACACATAATATACACACATATTTCTAGGTAGGTAGTTGGTCTCATTCTCTAACGCAGGTGGGATCCCTCAGCAACGTCGAGACGGAGGTTTGGGTACGGGCAGCCCAGCCTGGTGCAGGGAAAAGACCTGTTTTGGCCATGGGAAAATGGGAAAAACTTTTCATTTAAGGAAATTTATGGGAATTTATATGAATTTATGAGAATTTCTTGGATTTTATGGTTTTTTTGGGATTTGATGATGTTTTTTAATGGTGATTTCATACAGATTCAATGGGATTTAAAGGATGTTTAATTGGAAGTGTATGCGGTTTTTTGGTATTTTGATGAGATTTAATGGGATATGATATAACCGACAATTTTAGATACCTAATGTAGAAAACCCAATCATAAACCTCGTAACCTTCCATTTGGGCATGGTTTCTACAACGCAAAAAAAACATGGTGATTTTGGGGATGGTTTATGGCATTGTGTTTACCACATGTTGTTGGGAACAAGTGTTACCGTGATATGTTTGCCAACCAATCTCGCGACAGCAGTTTGTGACTGAGATGTATCGGGAAGATGAGAGTCCATTGGAGTTTGGGGTTCCAAATGGTGATTTTTTGAGACGCCCAAGCGGCCCTTGGACCACGCTGGGTTCATCGAAAAAAGCACACCAAGCGGCCCTGTTGGTGAGAAGCCTTCAAAACTCCATCCATTGTCGGATGAACATCCATAAATCCCAGCTATTTTGGTGTGAACAAAAAAGGGCTGCAGGGTTTTGACACATATCCATAACATCATATCACCCATAGATATAGATAATGTTAGTGAGTATGACCCATATCTAACACTGTATATCCATATCAATTCCAGCATGTCCGTTGGTGAAACAGTGGACTCGACTGATGGTTTCCAGATCCCCCTTATATATAATATAGCTTATGAAATCCCGCCCCCCGGGTTAAAATCAAAAATGAAAATTGCTTATAAAATGGAGTCTTTTGCAATAACGGGTTTGGGAAGATCCCTACTTGAAACTGTCATTTTATAAACCGCCCCTTTTTCTGGGGGCTATAAAATGGCAAATCCCCGTATCTCCTCAGGAGAAAACATGGGGGCGGGGTCAGCATAAAAAAAATATATTTGTATATTTTTTTACTACATGTTGGGGTTATAAAATCATGGTTCCTTTTAAACTTGTCATGTATAGACTCTAGTTGTCATTTAATAACATTTGGAGAACATTGCCTTATAAAATGATGGTTCGGAATGCTTGTAATGGAGCGACGGACTGTCATTTTATAAGAAACTATAAAGTTTGAGTTTAAGATTAATATTGTAAGGGGGATGTTTCAAGTGTTTTTTTGGCTCATGGGCAAACTCCAGGCTGAGAAGTCGGTGAATTTGGTTTGTCTTCGAATTACTTTGAGGAAAGGGAACCGTATGTTTACGATGCCATGATATCTCACTAGGCCCACTAGAAATATGAGTTTCTGTTGAGAAGTACCCAAAGTTACCCCTTTGTCAACGATCCTCTCAGGCTAGCATTTGAACCATTCAAAATGGTATATTAGCAGGTATATTAAGTTAACTCAATAGTATCTCGTATGCGGATATATGAGGCATATGTATGCGTTATGGTTATATAACAGGTATCCCAAATGGTTGATATACTAAATGCTTTATGGGTGATCATTTTGACCCATAGGGATATTTGTTAAGCCACCAGTGTACTGGCATGGTGGAGGTGGCAGCAGGCTAGCCATGATAATCGGGATGCAAAGGGGTCGGTAAACCTAGAGAATTCGATGAGGAGTTACATCATCAGCTAACTGGGAACCCCTTTTGTTGTTTGTCTTTTGACAGTTTTGGACCTTGGATGTGATACAACAAACATGGCTGGATTGACGAAAATTACCAGCAACTTGTAGTGCTCCTGTTGCTCCATGATGAATGATGAGGACTTCTGGGATGGTTTTAATGTATAGGGTACCTTCCGGTTATGTCAAAATAGCTACTGAAAACTACCCCATTTATAGTTGATTTACCGAACTTAAAATAGGTGATTTTCCAGTTCGCAAACTGTTAGTTTACAAATGCTGGGCGCCAGCCACATCTATGTTTACCCGGTACCTCTATATCCACCCATGTTTGAGGCCCCAAAAGTATCAGGGCCGGGGACCGTGCACCGAGGTTGATGCTCCTTCTGGCTTTGATTTTGGACAGTGCCCCTGAGCGATCGCGCCTGCTGTGATGGTAGGATGAGGGAGAAATTTGGGTGGGAAAGGTCTTTACATGTGGGGTTGTTGAAAATTATCTGGTTGGTGGTTTTGGAACATTTTTTTTCCATAATATATGGGATAATCCTTCCCATTGACTAATATTTTTCAGAGGGTTGAAACCACCAACCAGTTATGGTAAAAACCGAAGGCCGCAGTGTAATTTGCTAGTTTCCCTATTTAAATTGTATCCAAGTTAGTGCTGAAAGTCTGCAACTTGCTTACAATCATGGCTTGATGGATACATTGCTTCGTCCAGCTTTCGCTGGTTCTCTTAAACCGTGGCGCTGATGCTAGGGTTGGTTCATGCATTGATGGAGCTGCAAAATCCGCTCTTGTGCACGGTGCTGACACGGCTTGTTGTTTGTAGCCATATGTTTCTATCCTCCATGGTGTCCTTTTGTCTCAACAGCTTTACTCCCCTCATGTGGAGTTTCTCCCGTAGCCATTTGGGCAGCAATTTCTGTCATCAACGTAGCTCTCCATTTCAACTAGCACCAACTCGTCGTTATGGCGCTCACCCTGGCTGCCATTGACGAGCTCCGTCTCAACGTCTCCTTGAGTTCTGCCACCTCACAGTTCCCGGGGCGTTGGGAAGAACTGCGGGATGCCACTCTCAGTACCTTGGACGCAAGATGGGTTGGTGATGTTCAGGGGTTGGTAAGTGTCCACATTTAAGTATCGTTTGGAGACTACCTCCCCAATGGCTGGGTGATATTCGAGGAAGACATTTACCCCTGATTTCCTCTTTCATTGTTGTTATTCCCTCCAGCAATCAAACATGGCAATGGCAAATCCCCACTCATAGATTATTTTCCCAGCTATGTACCTCCATTTAGTGTCGAGATTTCCCGTATGATGATGACCGGAGAGTATTCACTAATATTCCACTACATCTGAATATACCATGATAAAATTATAGTCCAGAACATATTCCACTATATCCCATTATATCCATGCATATCCCCATTATATCCCCATTCTCTTTGGCCTTGTCATGTTTTGAAAACCCTGTGGTTGCCATGAAACCGAGGCGTCCTCCTGGTTCTGTTCCATTTTTCACTTCTCCGCCTCTGGCGCTACTGGCGGTACCTTGCGGGCGGCAACGCCTCATACGAAGCGGTTGCCGCGTCCCCGAAAATCGCGGAGGACCCAGGTCCTCCGAAGGAGGTCCAAGAGACTTCTACGAGGGAAGAGATCTTTTGCCAAAAAGTGCCTTGATTTGCAGAAGTGAAGTGGACTTAATGGTGAATGATGGTTGATGATGATCGATGGTTCAGATACCCTTGTTGATTGGTTATGAAATAGGGAGGAACTATTACCAGGCTTCTTGGAGATTATGAACGAACCAACTAGCTAACCCATATGAATTGGAAACCTATCAAACGACTAGTAGGAGGGAAAAGGAACCTCCTTGGAAGTGCAGTTCCAGCGAACTCTTTGCGTTTCTATTTCATCATAGCTATAGGATGTTTTCTCGGGCTGGGGCTTTATCCAACTTGTGGGAGGTTTTTACCATGCTTATATCATGTTATAGCCATAAAAATAAATTCAACTGCCACCCCAAATATGACACTCATGGGACAGGAAAGACTGGGAGTGATAAACTCGTGCAACGTGGCGACAGAATCCAAGAGACTTGGGAAACTATATAAATACTGTAGTACTTCATCTTACATATAAATGATGATACATATCTGATTATATACTATATATATATATACATGGTTGGTGGTTTCAAACATGACTTTTATTTTCCATTTCATATATGGGATGTCATCCTTCCCATTGACCAACTCATATTTTTTCAAGATGATTAAAACCACGAACCATACATATATATATATATATATATATATGTAGTATACTATAGTATACTATAGTTACAGAGTTACACTATTATACCACCATTTGATCATTTGTTCAATACATTATCCCATTAGAATCCATATTATATTCCATTAAAACCATTAAACCCCATTAAATCACCACTAAATCACCATGAAATCCCATGAAATCCCATGAATTTCCCAACGGATCCGTTGTTTTCGAACCTCCCGAGGTCTTGGCTGCTCAGCAACGGGGCCATTTCTTGGGCACCGTTCAAATCTTCCGGGACTTTCAGGAGGAGAACTGGGGACACCCCGTTTTTTGGGGGGGGGCAAAAAAGGTTCCTTGATTTGGAAACATATGGAAACATATGGAACGGGTGTCCCCAAAAAAAACAAGAATGGAGAAAATTCCTATTACCCTCCAATTATAGTATGCCTTGAAGTGGACTTAATCATGGTTAATTATAGGGTTAATGATGGAAACATATGGAAACATGATTGATTTTATGGTTAATGATGGTTAATAATGGTTAATGATGGTTTAATCATGGTTAATGATGATTTTCCTGGTGGTGTCTTGATGGTTAATGATTGTTTATTGATGCTTAATGGTGGTTAATGATGGTTGATGATTGTTAATGATGGTGATTAATGGTTAAGATACAATTGTGGATTGGTTATGAAATAGGGAGGAACTATTACATCTATTACCTAGTTTGTTAATCTGTTAATGTACCGTGATCATAGAACATCCAGGGGTGATGTCGCGCGACCTGCTGCCATGACATGACTCGGCAATGTCTCAACTGACTGTTCTGGCAGGAGCGGTTCTGTTGAATTCTGAACTTAATTAGGATAATACTATTTATGGGAACCTATATTATAATACTATAGACTGTTTATTATGGGAACAATTCTACAAATGGAGTTTTTCCTTATTATCCCAGATGCTCCATGGTGCTGGAATATTTACCTACAAAACTGGGCCATAAAAATGGGGTAAATGATGGTAAATATTCCAGCACCATGGAGCATATGGGATAGGATAATAGGGTACCCCAACATTTCAGTGGTTGAATATGGTTTAATTCTTCTTAATTCTCACATTTTCTCATTATTTCCCTAGCAACTTGCCATTTTTGAACATGGGGTGTCTACCTGGCGCCATACCGACGCTTTGGCAGGAGACGGTTCAATTCAGCCAGGCTCCTTTACTGCTTCTGCGAAGCCTTCGACTGGCAGATGATGCCTCCGGACTTCGGGATCTCTATGAGGCCCAGTTTGTGACTGGTGTCGGGGTAATCTGAACAAGGTGGTGCCCCCCCAGTGATGTGAACGTTGGTTTATAATCCCCATGAATACTTTAGATATACCCCCCAATCAACCCAACAGTTATTGGACTTATTGGCACTAACTTAGCTAACTTTGGGGCACCACCTTGAAGCACCAAGCACGTTAAGAAAAGTGAATCAGAAGCAACATATGAGCCCTGAAATGAAGCTACAAGGGGCAATTTTTAGGCAGAAACTGCTTGAAATTGGAGAACATAGACTGAGGCCATATGTTGGGTGCCTCCAATTTAGGTACTGTACCTGAAATGTCCCCTGAGAAAGAAGTATCAGACTATACATTAGCAGAATATGTTACATCATGTTACATTTCTATACATTTCTTTAATGTAATTTGTTGAAGGCTATCAGAAATTGGCCATGCAAATAATATTCAGGCTCCATCCGAAACTGCTCAGCACAGGCGACGAAGGACCACTTGGAATATTCCAGGACACTGTGGCAGACTGGATTCGTTTTTTTCTGAAAATTGGGATAATGGGATTTAATGGGATATTGATGGACTACCCTTTGGTAATTTAACAGTTTGCTATTGAAAATGACAAATATTGACATAAATATAGCTAAATCATCTATATATAAATGCTGGCTGGTGGTTTGGAACCATGGATTTTTATGACTTTCCATTCAGAAATGGGAAATTCATCATCCCAACTGACGAAGCCCATGATTTTTCAGAGGAGTAGGGTAGGTATACCACCAACCAGTATTATACCACCATTTGTTAGATACATTATCCCATTAGAATCCATATTATATTCCATTAAAAGGTATACCACCATAATATATATATATATATATGTGGTCACCCCCCCATGATCTACTTAGCATTTTATTTGGTTTGTCCATGTTATATATATATATATAACCATTATATATATATATAACCATTATATATATATATATATATCCCCTTAAATGGTATTTTTGATGAATCATCGCCATGGTTTTTATCGCCCCCAGAGAGCCGAATCCGCGAATCCATGGATCGTCAACATGAAATTCAGTGGGGCCTTACCATTAAAAATTGGCTCTTGAATGGGATCGTTCATGGATTTTTTTGTATATTTCATGGAATAAACTTCATTGAACATGGACTCATACAATGTGGTGCTCTGTTGGATAGCTGTTTGTTGGTGAACCGTTCACTACAACAGTTGAGTTGATGAATGGGGGATATATCGAATAGGTCAGATTGGGGCTCATGGTTGCCAACGTTGTAGCAGCTATGGGGGCCCCACTATGTACTTGGTGGCTCATCCCACGGATCGTAAGTGGGTTAGTTCACCCATTTATAAGTGGATTAACCCTACTTAGACTTATCCCATTTGTAACTGGGGTCATAACCCATTTACGAGCCGTGGGATGAGCCACCAAGTACGAGTGCTTGCTTTTGGAAGGAGCAACTGTTTGAATCGTACAATCCTAGGACCACATGATTCTGGGTACCCGGCCTGGTAAACATACAAAAAGCGATGGAAAAGCGATGGAAAATGGCCTGTAGAAATAGGTTGTTTACCATGGTTTACCGGTTATGTCAAAATAGCTATGAAAATGGCAATTTATAGTTGATTTACCCATCAAAAATGGTGGTTGTCCAGTTCGCAAAATGTTAACGTTGACCAGGTCGGCTAATTATGTTATGTTGTGACCTCACATCGTGACCTGGAATCATCCCTATAGGCCGCATTTTTTTCAAACGTGAGGCCTCAAAAATTTACCCAGATGGTTGATAGGTTATGGTAGGGGATTATATTTACTACCTGGTTATTGTAGGGGACTATGATAAGCCACATTATTTGGATGTATACTCAGATGATATATTTATATTTACACAGATTATTGGATATGATTGGTTTCCAGTGGGTTCATTGCTGGTTCGTATCCTCGCGGTTCCGTCCCCAGAATAATCGTTTCGCAGCAATCCCAAATTGTAGTATTGGTATGTATTGGTGATGAGATATGTATATATATATATATGTATAGTTATATATATATATAGTAGCCCCGGAAAAGATAGAAAAGTCCGACGTCTGGAAACAGGAGGGCCGGGTCTAATTTTTCTATCTTTACGGGTGTGCTGCAAAAATGGAGGAAAAATGCATTTTGATATAAATAGAACATTAATGTGCCTTGTAACTTTTCTATCTTTAGGGGCGTGCTGGTAATTACATGAAAAATGCGCATCAAACATTGATGATGCACCAATTGTGTGGAAATAGCGTGCCGATATAGAAGATAGAAAAGCTACCATGCATAATTTGCTGCATATATGCACCGAAATTGCTTTGCTTGACAAAATCATCTAAAGGCATACTTGAAAGTGGGCAAAAACCCAGCAAAAAGTCAAGAAAAACTTGAAAATACGATGAAAAGCCGTGGCGAAAGGAAGAACAGGTTGAACATATGAAGAAAAACCCAGCAAAAAGTCAAGAAAAGCTTGATTATATGAAGAAAAACCATGGTGAAAGGGAGAGCAGCTTAAACGTACGAAGAAAAACCCAACAAAAAGTCAAGAAAAGCTTGATGATATGAAGAAAAGCCATGGTGAACGGAAGAATAGGTTGAACATATGAAGGAAAACCCAACAAAACACAAAGAAAAGCTAGGAAGTATGAACAGGAACCATGATGAAAGGAAGAACAGGTTGAACGTGTGCCTTGCACCCTTTTGTTGTAGCTTTTCTATCTTTAGGGGCGTCTTGGTATTTACATCAAAAATGCACATCAAACATTGATGATAGACTAATTGTGTGGAAATAGCGTGCATATGTGCATTATGATTATTAACGGATGTAGGGTTTAAGGTTAGACACGACATATTTTTGATAGAAATGTCATTTTTGAACCAAATTTCGACCAAAAAAAAATCGAAAAAAAAAATATTTTAAATTTTCATTCCAATACCTTGAGAATGATCCACTGAATGCTTTAAACCTGATTTTGGACACAATTTATGGATAGAAATCTACTTTTTAAAAAGTATTAAAAGTATAAAAGTGACATTTCTCATTTTGCATCACTTTCCCGTTGTGGTTCTCCCGTTGTGATGCAAAATGAGAAATGTCACTTTTATACTTTTAATACTTTTTAAAAAGTAGATTTCTATCCATAAATTGTGTCCAAAATCAGGTTTAAAGCATTCAGTGGATCATTCTCAAGGTATTGGAATGAAAATTTAAAATATTTTTTTTTCGATTTTTTTTTGGTCGAAATTTGGTTCAAAAATGACATTTCTATCAAAAATATGTCGTGTCTAACCTTAAACCCTACATCCGTTAATAATCATAATGCACATATGCACGCTATTTCCACACAATTAGTCTATCATCAATGTTTGATGTGCATTTTTGATGTAAATACCAGCACGCCCCTAAAGATAGAAAAGCTACAACAAAAGGGTGCAAGGCACACGTTCAACCTGTTCTTCCTTTCATCATGGTTCCTGTTCATACTTCCTAGCTTTTCTTTGTGTTTTGTTGGGTTTTCCTTCATATGTTCAACCTATTCTTCCGTTCACCATGGCTTTTCTTCATATCATCAAGCTTTTCTTGACTTTTTGTTGGGTTTTTCTTCGTACGTTTAAGCTGCTCTCCCTTTCACCATGGTTTTTCTTCATATAATCAAGCTTTTCTTGACTTTTTGCTGGGTGTTTGCCCATTTTCAAGTATGCCTTAATATGATTTTGTCAAGCAAACCAATTTTTGTGCATATATGCACGCTATTTCCACACAATTTAGTCTATCATCAATGTTTGATGTGCATTTTTGATGTAAATACCAGCACGCCCCTAAAGATAGAAAAACTACAAGGCACATTTAATGCTGTGCAAACATCAAAGTGCATGTTTCCTCCTTTTTTGCAGCATGCCCCTAAAGATAGAAAAGTTGGAGCGGGTATATGACCGGCCCAGGAATAAACCAGAGGAGGAGATATTCTATGTTTTCCGGGGCTGCTATATGTATTATTTTGCATCACTAATGTATGTATACATGTAAATATATATATATATATGAATATAATATATATATATATACATATATATATATGAATATAATATATATATACATATCTAAAGCGGCACATTTGCACTCAGTGTGCTGCAATCGTGAAGATCAAAAGACATCCTCTTTTGTTGGGCACATCTTTGGTATGCCAGTTTGGTACAAAACGATCAAACATGGCATCATTTGAGTCTGCATGGCTCGGTTTTGGCCCTCATGATATAGAAGTCCCAAATCTACATACATATATATATATATATATTTGAATATGTAAAGAAAACGAGAGGAATTTGCACCGTGCTTTCAAGGGTCTTGGCAAGGGTTTTCCCCATTTACCAGCTGTTTCTATGGTGTATATCCTTGACACTTGACACCCTGCGCAACCGCCCGTTCCCGGTCCGACTTGGCCACATGGCTATTTCTGAGGACCCCAATCTGGAAGAATCCATCCATTTTTTCAGGCCCCAACCAGATGATTTTTATATATATATAACAGATATTTATGTCATTGCGTTATTTGCATCTCAACAACTTGTTTTGTTAAGAGCGGGGGCCCAATCCCACAAATAAATACATATCCCAGTGAAGACCATGGTATCTAGTTTCTATCTTTACAGGATCCCATTTGGAGTGCATTTTACCAGGGTGATATAGAAGATAGAAAAGTCGACCCTGAAACGCTGTCATGGTTTTGGTCCTCCATCCACAAGCTCATAAGAAGGTCCATTGATTCCCAGTAAATATATATATATATATTTGCATATGGATGGATTTATATGTTGAATTCCAACAACTAGTTTGGAAAAGGGGAACCCCTCCCACAAACATCTCAGTGAAGACCATGGTGATAGTGCCATCCAAATCGAACAAGTAAACTGCATATATCCAAACACTAGGTATTATCTATCATTTCAATTTTAAGGGGCCCCATTTGGAGTGCACTATACCAGGGCGATATAGAAGATAGAAAAGTTAACCATGGAACTCTGTGATGGTCTTGGCACGCGATTTTGCCCCTCAAAGATTTAGTTGTCACTTAGTCCCCCAATCAAAAGCAGGCAGCTCTGTAAAAGGCTGCAGGATCTGGGACGAAAAACACTTTTGTGAACGGTCCTAGAACCCTTTAGGTTCATGCAAGAGA